AGATATGTTGAACTACTACAATTAAATGGTTCACTAGCATCTGTTTCTATGTTGGGCAGCAGCTCCTGTTCAATATGGCCACAATTATAGCCCCATGAGGAAAGCTGCAAACCTTATAGCCCTACTTCAAAGGGTGGGGCATTTTTTCAGCTTGACAAAGTCCTCATTGCGCCAGCAGCAAGTTAACAAAATATATTGTCAGTGCTCTGATGGAGATCAGATGGTGTTAGCAGTGTGTAAACAACAAGGCATATTCCAAGCAATTTTGATTTTTGGTTATATCTACACTCCCCTTATACATAGATGTAGTATTCATTGTACTTTCTTCTTCTGTGTAGGTAAGAACACAGTAAAGGTACAGTGACATCAGCGTCTTGTTCAACAAAACCAGGATAAAGGATATGATACCAAAGTCCTGAGGTTGGCAGACTGAACATGAACCATAATCAATGTAAGAAAGTGCTGGAGTTATAATTTGAGATGGCATAATGATCAAACCAAAAACTGTGTTTAAAGGATGGACGTTGCCTATTCATTTGAAAAATTAGCTTTTTAAATTGTAATAGGCTACCAACTAATTGTAACTACTATCAACTATTGTTGTTTTGGAGCTTAATGGGGACTATAATGTAGAAAATGAGCATAATGTTTTGTTCTCTATGAAGTGAAACTAGGGACTGATCTCATAACTCACCGGGAAAGTATTTACTGAGGGCATGGATCACAGGACCTGTTTTTTCCATAGACTTTCTTTTGCAAACAAACTGAGTCGCCCCCTGCTGGCCTGTAGAAGAACGCAGCTCCAAAGCACTTCTGTATTGAACTCACTGTTTTTTAAGCTATCTCCACTTTTCATATACAGTCTATGGATAAAACATCCATTTATTTTCCTAACCCCTCATCCAGTTCCAGGTCATCATGAGCACTGCACATGTCACTAGTAAATCCCACTGCTAGCTAAAATGTTTTAGAAAAATTTCCCCATTCCAAGCAGTATTTTTTCGTAAAATCCACTGACTATGCACTTTTGTTTGGTCAGCTATGGTCACACAGACCCAGAGGTCTTACCAAAGCAGGAAAAGACAAGCTTGATTTTGTCTGGAAAGGACTTGTCCTTTCATTAAACCCTGTCATTAAACCCTTGGTCACAGACAAAATGGCTTCTGTCCACTAACATATATCAGTATAATATATTTAAACTATGTTAAATGTTAAAAATTCTTGTTAAAATACCAAAAAGACATGAAAGTGATCACAGCACTGAGTGAATGAGTTTCAGTGTGCCCAAAAGGTGGCCAGTAATTTCTCACACAGCAACAAATATATGGAGCCAACACTATCACACACTGCTAGAATATACACACCTAGGCTGTGACCCTAATCCATCTGCTCTGAAAGGGATTAAACAGCATGCTCTCACACATTGTCACCACAGTCACGTGTGTTTCGTTTTGCACACTCCATGTTGTGTGCTGTTATGTTTGCCTTTTTTATGATTAATGTGTTGGGCTGCCTAATAATAATGAAACACCTCTTTGCTAGATTCCCAGGAGGAATCTATGAGGATAT